TCCAAATACCTATATTAGAAGAATGCTATATACAAATCTAACAAATATCCTAATTCGCGCTTTCGAGACATGAAAAACGCAAGTTGAATTCCGTCAATCGGCCCAGTAGAATGAGAGATATAGAACTGTCCCCCCCCCACAGTGTACCATGAGATTGGCAACGAAAAACAAGTTATTCCGCTAAATTTTGTCTTGCTTCTATTGCATACTGAGAGAATTAAGCTTGAATTGTATTAGTTCACTTATTTATTTATACCTATGTCTAATTCTTGCACAAACTTAAGGCTAATCCGAGTTCTGAATAAATAAACTCCCACATTATACTTAAGGGTTATCGAAGGCCAGCGCTAGGTATCGCCTGATGCAGTCTCTGCAGGTCCTAAATTCTGCTACAAAACATTTCCTTAAGTTCCAGTGGCATAGCTAGGGTGATGCAAGGGGGGGCATCTGTCCCCGGGTACAGCATCCAGGTGGCACCAAATTGAAGCTACAAAAATTTTAATGGAATGTTTTCCATTCTTGGCACACAGAAAGGGGGCAAATGCTTCAGTTGTTCTTGGGCATTGGAAACCCTAGCTACACCACATCTAAGTTCTAAATTTTTGCCGCCCCTAAACTTTGGATCTCAGTGCTTTCCCTAAATTATCAAAATTTTCTCATCCCTTAATTTTGCCGCTAGGTTCTTCTCTAAATTCCAAAAATTCCTTAAATTCTGTTGTACTGACTAGCCATACGAGCTCTGACGCTGGTTCTGGGTTTATGTGAATAAAAAATCAGTTTCCTCCTCAACATTTCTCAGCACATTTAACTTAAATCTGTAATCTTCACCAAGCATAATATCAGCATAAAAGGTTGCCATACTCTTTATTATTCAATTACTAATACAACAAAAAATGCTTAAGACATCACTGCATGAGTCATTACTCAAGTTGTCATATGCTGATTAAACATATGGCGATGAAAGCAAAATATAATAAATAATGATTCGCCCCGTTGGTGTCAGGGGTATAAAATACTAGTAGGTGTAAAATCAATGATGTACCTAAGTAGAGTATTTCTACTTGGGTACTACTTAGGTTTCTACTTAGTAGAATATTTCTACTTAAGTTTGAGATGTATGCCAAGCACATACACAGCTACGGAGCCAAATTACTGATCTCACAAATTTATGCTAAACTTATTGTTTCTTCAATAACGAGGTATTTTATTTTGTGCATAAATGAAATTATGAATCGGGACTCTCCATATGTTTTATTACGGGAGGAAAAAATCAAATGCACATGCGTAAAGCATACAAAAAAATATTGTTTGTGGCTTTGAGGTCTGGATTTTAGTTCATTCCAGATATTGGATGTCCGGGTTTCGGACTTTGTACTGTAGTATACAACTGTCCACATGCAGATAGATACAGTTGCAAACTTTATTTGGAAACCTATACTGCAAGTCATTAATCATTAGTTATCACTCCAATAAATTATACCTTCTTTCAGCTATCATACAACATATTCCAGAGAAAGCATATTTTCAAGGAAGTACAGCAAGACAGAGGATCTTTGAAGTGGACTACAAAATATCTGTTACAGCAAGGAAAGTGGAATTTTACAGGGGAAAAGTTACAAGATAGATAGCAACATTATGGTTTTAGATAATCATGGAAAATATAATACTGACAGCCAATAAATGTATTCAGTAATACAATACAATTCTTTCAATGAAAACTACAGGAACTTTTACTCACATTAAAAGTAATATCGCTAAATATTCATTGGTATATGGCAGAAATCCTCATTGCAGTGAGTGGCAACATTCATCTTTGCTGTGTAATATGCATATGTGCTTGCCATTACCTGAGGATAAAAAACTTGAACTTTTTCATGAAGACTTACAACTCACATTTCCCCCCCCCCTGTTCGTGGCCAATTTCTTGCGTCAACTTCTGTGTGTTAATATTTAAATATTTAGCCTCTTGTGAGATGTGCTTTCCTTTTAAATGTTAAAGTTGGTTTTAACTGTTAGCTGAAGTTTGCGATTCTTAGGCCTTTCTGATGACCTTCTGATGGAGTCTAATGGCAGTATAACATCACCATATTTGATGACCTACAGTAACTGGTGCATCGTATGGCGCAGCTACACCTGCTTTGAAATCTGGTTTTGATTTTGCCCAGGATTTTGTGCTCCCGAACTTCTTGAAATCTTGTGCTTCCTGAATGAAGTATGCTGCAGGAGGAAGCTTTTGAGAAACCTGGACAGATTTTGCGATTTCACTGTGGCCTTCCACCAGTACAAATGATTCTCAAGAGTATTTTGCTGAAAGTTTTTCATGAATATGTGTGAAGTGTATTTTTTAAGAAAATACTTTTTATCATGCATTCTTGGCATTTACTGGAGTTGTTTTTTCCTTATTCATAACAAGTACAGTTTGTTTTATGAGGTGAATGCTTTACATTTTGTTAATGTTCATACATGTTTCATTCTCATGTTTATCCCTAATTGTTATGGATGTGTGCCAGGTCTTCTATCATTTTATACCATGCTTTAGTATTGATATTTTTTTGCGTTGGCAATTAAAATCATATATCTTTTCTAAATTTAATAGTCATATCATGTAATGAAAATTCCTTCTGATGATTTTCCAACTGAAAATATAGCAGCTATGCAGGTATTACAGGTTTCAGTAAAATTACTGCCTTTTTGGAAAACAAGCCCTGCATTATGGTTTGTTAGAATAAAATTGAAGTTTTTCCTTACCAATATTTCTACCGATTTAGCCTAACCATGTTGTTGCTGTTGTAGATTCTGGTATACGTAATCCTGTTAATGATATCATTTTAAAGCTTCCTGCTACCAGAAAATATTACATCCTAAAGCAAAGATTGATTGCAATAAATTCTGAAAGTGAAGCATCAACAATTCATTTCCTGTTGCAAGGTCTTAAGCTTGGTGACCAGAAGCTTCCTCAGTTGTTGACTCATATGCACCCTTTACCAGGTGATACTATAGGTGAATCCTTGTTAAGATCTTTATGGCTTGCAAAGCTCTCCACAATCTATTTTGGCTGCACTCAGTGAAGATGATTTGAGTAAACTAGCTATGGTCGCTGATAAGATTATTAAGATCACATCTCACCTTCTGTGATTACGGCTATCACGACCCCTGAGACAAATGAATCACGTACAACTCATTTGGAACTTCGGGTAGCAGAAGTGACAAAGCAAGTTGGTGAGTTCACCTCTGCCTTGGAAAATAATTCTCGTAGTCCTAAGTGATATTTTCAGCATTCATACCAGCACAGTAAATCACATGAACACACTAATCGCTATAAACAGCAAACAGACAACCTTTGTTTCTATCATATAAATTTTGGCAAGCATGCAAGAAAATGTCAGTTTCCGTGTTCCTTTCGTAAAGCGAGAAATCAGTTGCTGGTCAAGGTGCTGGTCAGTGGGTGAATTATATATTTTTGGCAGACTCCTTGTCAAAATTAAAACATTTGATACTGGGGCAGATGTGTCCATATTACCGAAAATGTATGCTCAGGCCTAGAAGCCTTCTAGAGACTTGGTTTTGTTTGCTGTGAATGGAACCAAGATTCCCACATTTGGCATTAAACATCTCACTTTGGATTTAAATTTACGTGGCACCTTTACTTAGTTATTTGTCATTGTGGATGTTAATCAGCCAATTTTGGGTGGTGATTTCCTTAAGAAATATGGATTACTTGTTGACGTAGCTAATAACTGCCTTATCGATTCTGGGACCGTTATGTCAATGTGTGGCAAATTGTTTAACAGAGTTTATTTTATTTAGGCATATCCATATCTCTTAATGACACTAAACTTAATAAATTACTAGCTGAGTATCCTGAGCTCACTATTCTTCTTATGTAAACAATAATAATTAAACTTCAACAATTTTCTATTCTATTGAGACTAAAGATCCTCCCGTTTTGCCAGATTTGCTCCAAGCAGCATAACAGGAGTTTGAGTACCTCATGTCACATGGAATCATTCAGCTATCCAAAAGTGCTCGAGCCAGCCCTCTTCACATCATTTATAAAGTTAATGGTGACTGGTGTCCTTGCGGTGACTATCGCCACTTGAATGCCATGACTATTTCTGAGCCCAATATGCAAGAGAGCCATCTCCATTTGATTTTTTATAGATGACAGAAATACAAATTGTATTCAAAATAATAAATTTATTCTGGGAAAATCACCAGTACCATTTCTTGGCTGTTTAATTATTTCTTCAGACGTTCAATCTCTTCCTGAAAATACTGCAGTAATTTCTAACTTCCTGAAAATTGTAAAGTCCAAGATATAGAGGTTTTCAGCAATGCTGAATTTTTATCAATGATTTTTGCTTCTGCTTCATTCCCTTTCTAAGAATAATAATAAAATAAGAATAATTTCTAATAAGAATAATTTTTAAGAAGAATAAACATTAAAACCCCTTGGACAGCAGAAACAACTACAGCCTTCGAAAAATGTAAAACTGATCTAACAAATTCAGTGACACTTGGTTACCATGCCCCTGGTCAGCAGTTGTCACTGACTGTCGATGCCTCAGATGTGGCTATTGGAGCCGTTTTGCCCTCACGCTGCGATAATAGCCTTCAACAACACAGTCTTTTTCTCCAGAAAACTGGCTCCAGCAGAAACTAGTTTTGCACTCATGTCGCGATAATGGCCTTCAACCCCTGGCTTTATCCCCAAAACTGATACCAGCAGAAACTAAGTACAGCACATTCAATAGAGAATTACTCATTATCTACTATGCTGCAAGGCATTTTCAACATAATCTTGAATGGCAAGATTTACAATATCTACAGATTGATTTACTATCCAGATTCTTCATCACCCAGGCAGGATCAGACATATGAATTGTATTGCCCAATTCAGTACCGATATACATTATGTTCTTGGACCAGAGATGGATACCTAGGAATGGCATATATGCTTATATTGGCACTATGAAAACGTAAATTACAAATGAACTTACCACTTGAAATTTCATCTCATCGCTAACTTTATTAGAATTTTGTCCTGGTTGGCTTTGATGAACCTTTACGATAGTTTCATAGTTCCTAAGCAACAAAATATACGTCTTTAATTCCTACATTACAGTTGTATTTGTTTATCAAATAAGTGTTTTCAGTAAACAGTGCTACTTAAATAAAAGCTTACGCTTTCATGATTTGTAAGGCAATAACTTCTTTTCTTAAAGCATTAAGTTCATCTTCTTGCTTTTTCTTCTGCTGCAGAAGGAATTGAATATAATCAATTGCTGAAAGAAAAGAATCCAATGTCATATATCAGTTTTTGAAAAGTAATATAAAAAGGAAAGTAAAAATTAATATAGAAAAGTAATATAAAACTACTGAAATAAGCATTTTTTACAGCTAAGATAATTTAAGCTTAAGTACTGCAGTATTTTCAGGAATTTAGAGATTCCTGAAAAGATTCAGATCAAATTTAGATTAAATTAGAAAGATTCAGATTAGATTAAGAGACAGAATATTGCTGCTTCTAAAAAATTAGAGATCATATATCCATCTCCTTTAAAATTCATATTGTTTTTCATTAAAGCCACCTCACTAATTCATATTCATTAATATAACTATTGATCTATGGTTAGTTTTGCTTCATGTTTTCAATTAATAAAAACTTATCATTCTAGTTTTACCAACTTAAGACGCACATTAAAGTTAATTTGGTACATTTTTATCTCGCACAGTACAAAGTTGAAATACGGATGTTTAATGACTGGAATAATCTATTATCTGTGCCTCACACAAAATGTTTCTTACACAATGTAGGAACTGAGAAACTGACACAATAAAAAAATAGGACTGCCATAAATCTGTTTTATTCCTGATTAGCTGAGATTTCTTTTGCAGAAAATCATGTTATCCACATCAACACTGAATAACCAAATATGCAGTTTTATCAACACTAAATCATCGTGCATATGGTTTTGTTGTTAAATACATGTCAGTTAGATAACCACATTTTCATTTTTAGCCTTTGAGTTGTGGAGGAAGGCAACATTTTTCTTAAAATTTACATGCAACACATGGAGAGCTCAAAATCTATGTTTGTCTGAAGTGTAATACTGTGCATGCTGTTTTTCATTTGTAACTATAGCATGAAAAAATAGAACTAAGCTAGCATAGTCTACTGTGCTGTTCCTTAACATACTGATTAGATGTAGATTATTTTGTTCAGTCTATTGTCATTAATCTTATAAAAATTAAACTCTGAGATTAAACTTATAAAAATTAAACATCTATTTTAATCTTTCCACAAAACTTTACATCTGTCTTTCAACTAATGAACATCAAAAGTTTGCATGCAATGAAATGAAGATATAAAGCAGCATTTTCAAAATCAATGCAGCCAGAAGACCTTCCATGAATTCTTCAACTATTATATTATACATTGCTTTCTATGAAGCATCTGAAAGGATCATGAGAGAATGTAGCTGCAGATGTTTTTAAAAATACTTGGCATACTTTATAGCGAGGTACTAAATTCCTGATGATGACAGCTGCAAATCTGAAGATTTTTTATTCTGTGGGTAAAAAGCAAATGCAATTTATGAAAAAATGCTACATAGATGATATAAGTTTTCTATTGTGATGACAAAGTGCCAGTGACATTTGAATTAACAACATAACAATTCTCGACCACAAAGTACACACGCCAATTTAAAAAAAGAAAAAAGTGGAACAAAGAAAACCGAACTTTTCTGATAAGCAGAATATGTGAAGAAATGCAGATAACGTTAAATGAAGATGATATAGCTAATTGCAATGGCAATACCCCAATCAAATCTATTAATGGACAATAAAATCTAGTATGATTTAAAATACAGAAAATATTATCACTGATAGTGACAAAACAGTTGTTGAGGATGAAAAGAATTTGATTGTCTACTTAAAGGAAATTGCCAGCACAACAATCACATAACTTAAAAAATACAACTTTGTAACTGAACATAAAATTTATCTCTCTGTAAAATTGAAGTATTAACACACACACACACACACACATAAAAAAAACTTATACTATTAAAAGAAATGCCTAATGAAACAAAATAAATTTTAACAGTGAACTTTTTCTGTAAAATGTGGTTCCTCGTGGTCATAAAAATGTTTCATTATTTTACAAAGAACCATTTCATACTTGCAATTTAATCTTTAGATTTCTGCAAGAAACAAATGATATAAGAATGTTAACTGATGCATGTACAGACAAAAAATTTATTATAATACTTGTTGCACATGCATAAACTATTTATATTACAAAGTGCATGATTCAAATTGGCTTTATGCTCAACTGTCTTTTTCCCCTGTTTAAATTTTAATTAAAAAATCTGCTACGCAACGTGAACTCAAAACAGGTAAAATTTGTTAGACCACACATCAAACTTTTACTTCCACATATTCCAGTAGCCTTAACTCCATTTTCATTTTCAAACATATTCTTTCTTTCTTTTAATTTTTTTTTTCCAAACATACCTATATGTTTTCCATTTAGATTTAAGGAATGATTATGATATAAATGCCAGCTTTCACATCCAAAAGCCACATAAATTAATATTTGTAATCATGGATTAAAATATTTCTAGCAGCTCAATGTTGCTCTTGAATTACCCATCCTTATGAAATTTGAAAACAAGTAAAATTTGTTAGAACACACATCAAACTTTTACTTCCACACATTCCAGCAGCCTTAACTCCAATTTCATTTTCAAACATATTCTTCTATCTTTCCCTTTTTTTTTTTTTTTTTCAAAAATACCTATATATTTTTTTTTCATTCAGATTTAAGAAATGATTATGATATAAACACCAGCTTTCACTCCCAAAAGACACATAAATTAATATTTGTAATCATGGATTAAAAAATTTCTAGTCAATATGGTTATAAAGTTATTGTTATTATTTAAGCCCACTACACTTGTTTCAATTACTTGATGATAACTCAATCAAATATGATGGAACAAAACCTCACAAAACGGGCTTTTCCACAACATAGAAGTTTATTCTAACAGCCTAAAACATAAAAAATTAAGCAATTCAAAAGGGGGGAAAAAAGGAACATTTTTGAAAGGTGAAATTACTTTGTAAATATTTTATATAATTTTCATTTATATTTGAGGAATAATTATGACATAAATACTAGTTTTCATTCCCAAAGGCCAGATAAATTAATATTTACAACCATACATTAAAGAATTTCACATCACAGGATTATTATTTTTAATTTAAGTGTTGGGAATACAATGCCTGAAATTCACTTACATCTCTGGAGAATAGTTGCTTTGCTTAATTTATAACTACTAATGCTGTCCTGTTGCTGACAAGTAGGAACAAGTGACTGCAAATCTTCATAACCTCTCTGAAAATGATCAAAAACAAAAATTAATGAAACAAATTATAAGAAATGGATATAACAACTTAGAAATATAACATACTGGTATAATTCTGCATCAGAATAATGTTAATTACATTTTATAAAACGAATCATAAAAATGACTTAACATGTATATTCGAAAATCAAAATCCAACATAACTTATGAAATACCTTAAACTTCAATATTTGGGTGGGTGGTTAGCCGAGTTATGGTACAAAACAATGATTATTTGCTTTAAATCCAAAAGGTACAGTATATAAAAATAAGAATCAGAAACTAGTTTCAAAACCTTTAGTAAAACTGAAGTAAATATATTTAAACTGTTAATGTATGTGGGGGAAATGCTTGCACAAATAATTACAGGGGTTGTAAATTAAATAGTGGCAACTTAACCTTGAAATTCGCAGAAGGACGGGCATGTGCAAATAGGATATGGGAGCGGTGAGGTGGCGCTGTTGCCGATGCGTAGAGTGCAAAAAAACAGTCGGTCTACTTAGAAGGGTAGCTGTTGTGTGGCGTTAAACTGAGGAGTTTCGTTTCCATCACTCTAAAGCATGTTTTCAAAAGGTGATCAGCTGTCATGGCATAAAATCAAGGTTGCTTATGGCAAAAATGCAACAGAATGCTATCGAGAATTAGTGGAAGCTTGTGGCACAAATGCTTTACCGTATAGGACAATAGCACAATGGGTTCAAGTATTTCGTTCAGGTAGGAATGAGACTGTGGATTTGCAACGCACAGGTTGGCCCTCCATTCGTCAAGAGCAGATTGACGTCTCCTTACCATAGACTGCCGATGGACTGTCCAAGAATTATCCTTAGAGGTTGGTCTGAGTCATCAAACGGTGTGGTGCATAATGAAGAAATTTCTCAACATGAGGTAAATTGCTTCCTGCTGGGTTCCACATCGACTAACTGAATGGCACTGGTATGCAGAAATGGCACCGGTATGCACTGGCTGGCCCCCACTTGGAGAGATACCACAATGAAGGAGACACATTTCTGCAGCATATTGTCGCCATTGATGAGACATGGGCACGAGCCTATGAGCCTGAATGAAAGCGTCAATCAAATGAATGGCATCACCAAGGTTTGCCACGTCCACAGAAATTTTGACAGGAACCCAGGCGTGTGAAGGTTATGTTGATTATGGCATACGACTAGGACAGTGTGATTCTTACACATGCTGTACCTGAAGGACAAACTGTCAACACAGATTACTATTGCTGATTTCTACAGCACCATCTGCGTCCAGCTATGCGGCACAAACGTCTAAGTTTATTGCACAACAATCTCCCTATCATATTGCATGATAACGCTCATTGCTATGTCGCAAACAATGTCACTCTCCTTTTGCGACGGTGGCAGTGGGAAATCCTGGAACACCCACCCTACTCACCCGACATGAGTCCTTGTGACTTTGATCTGTTTCCGAAATTGAAGGAACCCCTCCGAGGTCACCAATTTCATGACGTTTGATCTGTACTTCACGCAGTAGGGCGCTCGGTCGCTCACATCAACAACCAACACCTCGCCACTGGTCTACAATGGCTTCCCGACATTTGGCAAAAGGTTATAAGCTTTGCTGGTGATTACATAGAAGGAATGTAATGCAACTGTACTTGTAAGTTCATTAAAAATTGATTTATACCTATGTTGCCATTACTTAATTTACAGCCCTCGTACTTAAAAGAACAGGATGAAAAGTTCAAAAATATTATTTAAACCATGACCTTTCCCTTCTCCATGCACTGTTAAACATTTTTTATGCCAGATGAAGTTCTACATATATAATAATATAGTAAAATGTCCTATATGCAAAACTGCTGCAATCCAGGATTTCAGGAATTTTTGGAATTAAAACCAATCTATATCTGGTAAGATGACATGCAGACATGGTAACACTGGATCTTCACTTATTGTTGAGGTCAGGCAGAAAAATGCTAACCACTTAAAAGAGCTGAAAGTGTGACCATGGCCCAAATCAATCAATCAGTCAATGTATTATCATTGGTCACAGTGCAATTCCCTAGTCAGCAGGTGATTGAAAATCACATACAGGAATGAATCTGTTAGGAGAAAAATCACATTTATGGTACACCCGCTTTCTTTTGTTTAATATTACAATCTCCTTTCCAACACTCGGTACAGTATTATTTTTCATGAGTGGTCTGGATATTGGATACGATTTTGAACTTTCAGTGCAGTAATGGACTAATGCTTCAAACATTACCGCTCTATGTTCAAATTATTGGCATAATTTTTTTAGTGTTATTAAGTTGCAAGTTGAAATAAATTTTTTTCTGTCAGATTTCATGGGTTTCTGAATTGGTTTCAATTTGCATCCAAGAGAATATAAAAAAGATAGAAGATAAAAATAAAGATAAGAGATAGATAGGATAGATAGATAAAAATGAATAAAAAAGGGATGCATTAGCACTTACAAAGTTCAACAAAAATTTAAAAGTACTCTATGCAGAAGTAAAAGTAATACAGACATGAAAATTTTAAGTTTTGAAAAGTCATGCAAATAAATAAGGTAACATTCTCATGTCAAGAAATAGTAAATTCATACTAAAAGTAACATACATTACTATTTACAAAATGTCATTTATTTACACTGTATTAGAGCTTTGAAACTTGTTTTCCTACATCAGCTGCTTTTTTTTCTTCTGTTCCATTGAAAAAAAATTGGTCAAGATTTTGTATTCCCTGAATGAAACCTCAACAACTGCTAATCTTCATGTATGAGAAACTGGAAAATTTTCATATTTCAATATGAAAAATAGGATATCTTTCATGTTGTACACAATGTGACTTAATAAAGATTTGAAACTGGCACATTCATCTTAAAGTAACTTTATAACACAGTACAAAGTCCTAAATCTTAATTCCAATAGCTGGAATCATCTAAAGCAACTTTCTTTTCAGATTCTTTTTTTCTATGATTTAAGCATGCACATTAAATATTTTTTATAAAAAAAATGTGGAGAGTGGAGAGTCCAGATTCTGAATTTCACTTTGGCATTAAATAAAATACCTCTATATCCACGGAAATAATTTATTACATAAATATGGATAATTTATATAACAGTGCTGCCTCTCAAACAGGAGAATGAAATTCCAGGTGTTATAAGAAAATTCCAATCTATTCGTGTAGTGCACGTTGGCTGTGCCAAGAGGTAAATTAATTATGGTACCACTTGAAAACAGTAAATTTGCAAATCACATATGACTTATAATCCCCAAAACATTACTATTATACCTATAATAGGAGTTGTTTTCTCCACTGAAGACCAATATTAAAATATGCTCAATTTGGATTAAAAAATATCTTTTATTTCAGACATTCTGCAAAATAAATTCAGGTATTTTATATTTATTCAACAGCATACATAAGCAAAAAATATGTCCATTAAATTTTGTGATGGTGTGTTATCATACTGCTATAATTAAATTCAGCAGTGTGCCAACAAAAATTGGTTAACTAATAATAAATAAATTTAGAAGGAAGAAGCCACATTACGTGATACGAATAATATTAAAATAAAATTAATTACTTAAAAATTAAAAATTTAATTACAATAATCAACAATATTTTGGCGAATATATATATATTAAATGGTTACTTAACCCCTTCGCGCCGACTGTCACGTATACGTACCAGCAATGAACGCACTTATCTACCGGCCGACACGTAGGCGTGCCAGAGCATTGTTGCGTTTTCTACCGAATGTCACGTATTTGTGCCAGTACCTTGGAACGTTTTTCAAATTATAATTTCTGCCACAAGATGGCACTGTATGCCCATATGGTTTCAGATACATGTACATTAAACTTTCTACTTGACATGAGAGAAGCATGACTCACATACACGTGTTTTTGATTATATAAACAAACGGGGAACTAAATGTTTCCAAATGGCGTGATTTATGACATCTCTTTAAATCGCACATTCTTCGCAAGTGGTAGTTGTTTATTAAGTAGAAGTTTTATATGCGCTAAAGCGTTGAGTATTTCGGTTTACAGTTCAGTTTTTAGAAAATAATTAGATCTTGTTAGACGTGAATTCTTTCTTCTATTACCGTTTCAATGTCGAAGCATCGAAAATGTTTAACAGAGCATGAAATAGCAGAAATGATACAAAATATTTCAGATATTGATTCTGAAATTCTGATATTGATTCTGAAAGATTAACTGAAAGACATTTTCCAAAACTTTGTTCAGAAGAGACTGTAAGAAAATGAGACGACGATGCTTCGTTTGTTTCACATTCCCGGAAAATCCTCCAAAACGGCAAATGAGTTATTACGAGTTCAAGGAATGTAACGTAGGACTGTGTGTAGATCCCTGTTTTAAAATTTTTCATACGAAAAGAGAATTTTAAGTAATATATTTAGTTTTCAGATGTATAATGTTAATAATGTCATAAAATGGTGAGTAATTAAAATAAAATGTGTAAAATATGCATTTAAACAAGAAATAAGGTAAATAAAGTATATATATAAAAATATCTATAAAGCATAAGCCATTTAAATACTCTATAGAGCATTATTAAACAATGCGTTGATACTTCGGAAATTTCATGGATTTAGGCTTAGTAGCAAAAAAGCCCCCGGCCCTGGAGAAACGCTCGCGGAAGACACTGCCGGCCTCCGCAATAAGCGCGCGTTTTCGCTACCCGGCTCATAGGGGTTAAATGACTGATCACTATCTTTTCATTTTACTGCAAAATGACAAATAAGGCATTTATTTTTAAAAAAAATGTTTAAAAGTTTTTGCAGTAAAATCCTAGTATACAGTATGGCCTTGGCATGATTTTGAAAACTGTCGCCAACACTCAAATGACCCATTTACTGTTCATCATATAGTTGCCAAATCTCATGTGTACCATACACCACGATTAAACCAATTTCGTTTTACATGAGAATGGGAAGGTATTTTCTTTTGTTTAACATGCACTGCACATGTGAGTCTCTCGATTCAACATGCACTGCACATGTGCATGCGACTCTCTCGATCGAGTTACTGGAAACCACAGTTGCTGGAAACTTGCTTTTGCCTTTGTAAAAGACAATCTGATTGAAGCTGCGAAAATTGGCTCTATGCCAGCTGCCCGAATAATGCTCACACGATACATAATTTGTCAGAGGTTTCCAGATTTTGACTATTATATTTAAATTCCCTGACTTTTCCCGGTAGTGTGCCAACTCTGTTATAAATTCGTTCCATAGCAGCCTTTTTATAGGCACACATCACTACCAAAACACTTTACATTCAAACATTGATTTTAACATCCCTCATGAGATCCTGCAAATCATTATTATTTTTTGCTTTCATCACTGCCTTACTATCAACACACAGCAACTTGAGAAATGACTCATGCAGGTATGTCTAAACAAGTTTTTACAAAAACAGTAAATACCAAAAAGAGTATAGTAATTTTTTATGCTGACATTACACTTGGCAACGATTACAGACTTCAGGTAACTGCGCTGCGTAGTATTAAGCGAGTTGACAAGGAGAAATTTAACAAAAATTTCTTTCCAAGTGCAAAAAATATTTTGTAAATGATACTCATAGGACAAAAGATTAAAAGTAATGCTGTTTGAATTACGAATAACTGATTTTTTATTCAGATAAGCCCAGGATCAGTGCCAGAACTGGTGTGGCCACACTGGGTGAGAATTTGGTTTGGTTTAGCACATTTAATTATGGCAAAATACACTAAGGCTATCTGCCTAAAGAGAGGGATGCCTTCGTGAAGGACTTTCTAAAGGAAACTGACTATATATGTACACACGGGGAAAACTACAAAAATGTCCATGCAACCAGCCTGTTTGCAGAATTCAAACTTTGGACCAAAGTACCAGTGTTCAGTGACTTTACCACTTGGCCACTGGTGGGTCCACTGACTTAGGGTCGGTAAAATTTTTAGAATTTAGAGAAACACCAAGCTACCAAATCATGACCGCAAAAACCTTGAAATTTAGAGAAGGCAATACTGAGATGAAAAATTTTAAGAATTTAGGGAGACATCTGGCAGCAGAATTTAGGACATACATAAACATCACTGGTTTCAAAATGTCTAGCACCTGCCCTACATAAGCCCTAAGTATATATATGGGAATTTATATATTCAGGTCTCAGATAGATTTTATACATGAGAAGGAAATAGACAAAAGTATAATAAATAACTAAACTAATATAATTCAGGCTTAACTTTGTCAACATGCAATAGAAATAAGCCAAAATTTAGAACATGTCTTTAGTCATCACTCATGATACATCACCAATAGTGTATAGCCACGAATCTGAAGGTATTCAGATATCACAAACAAAAAGTAAATTTTTCCAATTAATGGAATTTGTGAAGAAATGTGGTGAACTAGTAATAAATGAAGATGATATAACAGAATTTTTTTATTGTGATCACGATGCCCCACTAATCAAGCAATTAATGAACAAAAAACCAAGTAATTTAAATACCCTACATTGGAAAAAAAAAAAAAAATTTAACAAAGAAAAAAAAATAAATACTGAGCTTTTTTTAGGGTAAATTTTGAGTCTCTTAAGGTTTTCCCCCTTAAGATCCTTTTGATTCCCTTTATGAAACAGTGCTTCATTTATTGCATAAACTACATTTCAGACTTTTTATTTTAAAATTTCTACATATCATCTTACTAGATTTAAACTGATCATCTAATATCCAGAAAAGCCAAAGTTCTAAAGCGTCTGGAATTTTGGACTCTATACTTTATATAACTATCAATTAAAATAGTCATAACACAGTTCTCATGAAAACTGTGTGATCTTAATATTGAATTCATTACTCTAAATTTTAGTTTTACTTTTTCTTCCCACCCCCTTTACTTAGCTGTTAATTAAACAAGAACATCAAAATGTGTTACATCCTGATATTTTTTATATACTTTTTCATATTGAGAACCATTACTGGATAATAAAAGTTTGTCAAATAATAAAAGGAATTTGCAGAACAGTTATAAAGGCAAAAGGTTCATGGCATGTCAAGGAGGTCAAATAACAGTTACACTCTCTTAACACAGTCAAAGAATTATGTGCATTTGAGGTCATGAGAGTGGATCTTGCAGTACTTTTTTATGAGAAAAATAAAGGGAAATTTAAATTTTTTTTAAATTTTATTTATTTTAGAAATGCAGTAAAACATATCATCCATTTGGAAATGAATTTGGGCTTAACAATAGAAAAATATCTTTTTGCCTTTCGACTTTTTATCTCAAGATATGAATTGTGGAAAATTGTATAATGACAATGCACAGACCTTTAAAATGGCAGAATGAAATCTCCAAAGACTATGGAATTCAGTTACAGATGCTTAAGTGATTGATTATTATAAGAGAACGATCAAATATACATCAGAAAAACCTTCATGGTGAAGCGGATTTGGGTAGAGGATGGTATAAAAATGTCTATGAGAAAAATTCTTGGAAGGTCTTTGCTAGCATATAAAGAACTATAAACTATACTAACAAAAACAGAAGCTATAATTAATTCTCAATAACTATTGGTGTAATGATCCTTTAGAAACATCTATATGATCCAATGCCTGCTTATCCTTTACAAAGCAAAGACTGACATCTCCATCTGATTATGCTGCCTAAACTGAAGAATTAATCTCAAAGAAAAATGTTACTAAAAAGTTACATTTACTGCAGACTTCTAATTTCTTGTGTAAATAGCATAAACAATATATATTACAGCTAAACAGTACTTATGTAAAACCCATCCATGTGAAACATGAATTCAGAATTAATCTGTTGTTAATATAGGTTACCTCCTCATATGAAGAAAAATTTTTTTAAATGTAGACGTACACACAGAATGAGATGACTAAATCCATAGTTCTACTTTACAGATTAAGTAAAATACTGAGATCCTAACTAATTATTATTCAGAACCTAGCAGTTTGTAAATGCATCTTAATTTCATAATTTATTTCTTATTTCAAATAAATATTTTCATCAAGGGAGAGAATGTAACAAGATGTTTATGCAAATGGCAATGCCAATTTCCACAGCAGGGACTGTGCATCCTTTACAGATTTAAAATGATCAATGTTCACTTGTTAAGTAATCCTCCAAAAGGGTAATGTATGTATCTGAAAATTGCTATTGGACCAGGCAAATAAAATGTCTTTTTAGTTTTCTTAAGGTGTATTTACTGGAGTCAGATTTAGGAGGATTCTCATTTCACATGCCACACTTTATTGTTTGTGTCTTTCCAAAAATCAATATTCAGATGTCTATATGAATTTCCCACTAATCAATTTTTAAACAAAGTAGAGGAATAAACAGTCTTGTTGATACGTAGATATATTTTAGATGCACAAAATAATTATATAATCCGATGTGTATATACTTGCAGTGACTACGAGGAATGATTTGACAAAACAGGGTAAATAAGTTGCTGAGTGTTATCCAACTTAAAGGCAGGGATCTTCAGCATGGGAAACAGCAGATCAAACTTCACTAAAAATTGGTGCCTTTGAGAGTGCCAAGTTTCAACTTGTTCAGTGAAGTCAGTCAGTGTGAGCTATGGTTGAGAAAAGTGTGCTTGGCATATCCCACATATAGGAATAATGTATTAACAAGAAATTTTGTTTCAAATTGGGTAAAACTGCTAATGAAACATATGAAATGTTAAGATTAGTTTATAATGATACTGATTAAACAACTTACAAATGGCTCAAATGATTACTTAAGTGAAAAAGTGCTAGCCGGGAACTAACATGAAGGTGATCTATATTGTGTTTTCTGACCTTGACAAAGTTGATAATAATTACTTACCAGACTCTGATATCTTATCATCTTTATAACTTATCAGACCTTGATAATAATTACTCTTCAGATCTGCTACAGTGAAATTTGTAGTTCTTTCTCAAAGTTAAAATGAACATGAATGGTAAATATTTTAAATTGATCCAGGATGCCAAGTCATCCATGCCAGCACAACTAAAGACACTCTCAAAACAGGACTTCTAGAACTGATTACGAAAATAAGTGTGTTTGAACTAGAGTTTTCCAATGGTAAATTAATGGCACTGTGACTTTTATTCTAGTTATTTATTACTTTGTACAAAGTAAAGGAAGTGTTTTGAATGATGACAACAATTATGTTTATTTAAAAAATTAATTTTTGACAAATTATGGAAGCTAACTTTTACTATCTATCCTGGTTCCTATACATTTGGGAAAATTTTATACTACTGGTCACAAAAAATATATATATACATATAAGAAATTTGACTCTCACATGACAAAAATTGACCATTAATCTCAAAATTTGCAATTTCTGATATCATTTTCAACTTCCCTTGATGAATTGGTTAATTAAGTTAGAATAATTCAAGGAAATAAGTTCAAATGAAGTGCAGCAAAAAAATCTGTATAATTTAATAGGCCATAAAAAGAAGTTGTTGTGTCCACGTGAGAAATTTTTTAATCATACTGCATGCATAAGTAATATGATGAATAGTAGTAAAGGCACTTTAGCTGACTACCTTGATTGCTTTTACTTAAGAGATGTTTAATTAAAAAGCTTTTTTATGTTTTTACCTTAATTGCATCACGTCTCTTCTGTTCAGCTTGAGTATGAGCTTCACGCCGCCTTTCCTTATAACTTAAAGTTGATTTTTGATCACTGTCTTCATCATCTGCAATTCAAAAACATGAAATTTAGTTAATTATATCAAAGTATTTGAGCAAATACATGAGATTTTCTAAAGGAAATTGGCTTTTATTTCTGTTACTAAAGCAGAAAACAATGGAAACACCCATAAAACTGACTTCCTCTTCTACCAGGAGTAAGCTTATAATGAAACTATTGCGATTTCAATATGTTAGCTACCGGCACTTAATGGGTCTTAAAATATTAGTATTTATGAAAAATCTATGCACTGTTTCGCTGTTTTATTACTTTTTTAACAATGCAATTTTATAGCCAATATGTAAATATGCACTTCATTAAACAAGCAACATACAAGAGTAATAGAAAAAAGCAGTCTGCTTATGCTATTTTAATAAAAAATACAGTACCAAGTCCGAAATCCGAACCTCAAAACCACCACCAACGTTTTTCTGGTAGGCTTTACACATGTGCATTTGATTCTTCCACCCTCCTCCACGCATAATAAAACATCTGGAGAGTTCCGATTCTTAATTTTATTTCGACACTAAATTAAATACCTTGTTATTGAAGAAACAATCATTTCAGCATAAATTTGTACGAGCAATAACCTGGCTCTGTTGTTGCGTATCTGCTGGACACCCATCTCAAACCAAAACATTCCACATAGATACATCGTTGATCTGACGCCAACTTGGTGAATTATTATTTTTATTCTACTTTTCTTTCATCACCACATGCTTATCAATACATGACAACTTGTAATGACTCATGTAGTGATGCGTAAACATTTTTTTTTTTAATGTTAGTAACTGAATAATAAAGGAGAATGGTAACCTTTTATGTTGCCATTACGCTTGGTGATAATTACAGATTTAAGTTAAATGCGCTAAAAATGTTGACGAGGAAAAATTTACCAAAAATTTCTTTCCATATGCTAAAAATAGATTTTGTTGATGATACTTGTGGACCCAAAGATTACATTTAGGGCTAATTGAATTAAGAATAACTGATTTGTTTTTCACATAAATCCTGAACCAGCGCCAGGGCTCGTATGGCCGCGCCGAGTCATAGAATTTAGGACTCACAGAGACCGAATGAGGAGGTAAGAGATCTAGTGCCACCCCTCAAAAATGCTTAAGTAAATGTGGAAATTTATTTATTCAGAACTCTGATAAGCCTTAAGCATGTACAAGAAAGAGACATATGTATAATAAATAACTAAACTAATACAATTCAGGCTTAATTGTCTCAGTGAGCGATAGAAGCGAGATAAAATTTAATGGAACTTGTCGTTAGTCCCCAAGCTCATGATGCATAGCCAAGTATGTATAGTGAAGGACAGTTAAATTTGATGATGACAGCCACTAATGTAAAAGGTTTTTGGATATCGCAAAACAAAGGTGAAATCTTTCAATTAATGGATTTTGTAAAGAAATTTGGAGAAGCGGTAATAAATGAAGATGATATAAAAGTTTTTCATTGTGATGACAATGTTTCTCAATCATCAATCAATTAATGAATGGTGAAATCTGTAGTATGGTTCTAGATCCAAAAATACCGCTACCGATAGTGAAGAAAGTGACAGAGAAGTTACAGAAAACGAGAAAATTTCGATTGCCAAGTTAGTCAGAATTCTCAAAACACCATTTACAGGACCTTCAACAATGTAATTAAACAAAAGATTATGTCTGTCTACAGAATTAAAGAGAAGGTATTAGCACAAAAAACGAAGCAACTTAAAAAACTTACATTGAAAGAAATGTTTAATAAGGTAAACAAATGAATATTAAGCTTTTTTGCAAAATTTGATACCCTTTATATCATAAATACTTCATTTTTTCATAAATCGCGATTTCATATTTTTAATTTTATAATTTCTGCATGCCATCTTACTACATTTAAATTGATGATCTAATATCTGGAAAAATCCCAAACCCGGAATCGTCGAAGTCCTGACGAGTCCAGATTTCGAACTTTGTACTGTATAATTAAAACTGCAATTATTGTATGCTCTATAACTTTGGAAGAGAAACCACATACATCACATAAGGATGAAATAAAATACGGGGGGGCATCATTTATACTGTATAGTGAAGTATGTAAGTATGCATAACTTGTCAATATTTGTACAGAAAAACTGTCTTTTGTTCCATACCAGTTTTTATAATCATATATATTATTTATCATTTATATTTTACTTTGTTTTCTTGTGATATAATATTACTTTATTATACAGCTTCACTTTTATACCTTCAATTGCTTCATCATTCTGAACTACTGTGCAAAGAGACAGCTATCCTTTCAGCTAGAAAACAGCTGAAAGGATAATTAGAGATAAGGTTATTAATGTCTATCAAACCCTGAACACAAAAATTTCAACTTAACTAATATGAAGAAAACAATCAAAATGGCACTTTCAAACACTGGGAAAGAGACAGAAGCAATTTCCACAAAAATAAAAGAAAGCAACTGATCGGCTATTAGACAAGGAACTCTACAAGAATGAATGCTGATATGGCAATTTCCATAATTTCAGATATAAAGGGAAGTAAGGCCAAAACAAAAGAGAAAATTTAGATGTCATAAATATCAATGCATACTCTGAGGTTTCACGTTTGTTTAAAATGGATTGAAAAAGACAGCTATTGTCAATGCGGAAATAAAAAAATGTAACGGAAATTTTAATGAAGACACTGTTTCTGTAAATGAAAGCTTCCTGGAACAGAAATGCTACAGAAGATATTCCTGGAACCTGCCTCTAGCATGTCTTTTGCAAATAAGGCCTCACTTCAGGTTCCCCCCCCCCTGTCCGATTATTAAACTCGCACTGCATGATGAAAAGTTATCTTCAAATGTGCAGTACAAAATTACATTTAAAATATGATAAATTAATTAGTGCAATTTCCTCTTAAACAGTAATCAGACATTTTAGAAATGCTTTTATAGTAAAAAAAAAAAAAAAAAATGTAGAATTCAGAATTCAAGAAGGTTCAGGTAGCAATAGGTAGAAAACTGATGTCATAAAAGATTTTTGCAAGAACAAACTGAAGCACATAAAAAGATCCTGCATAAAAAAACTAAAAACCAAGTATGAGGAATTCCTTGAAAGCTGATTGATAAAAATGGCTTCAATGCTCCAGATCATTAGACAAATCTGAACATTTTAAAATCAAGGCTATATCAGACTTTCTGTATCAGATCAGACAAATCATCATGTGGTCCACAGCAGTGGAGACATCCTAAGAGAAATATTGAATTAAGTGAAGTTCAAATGAAGATCCCTACTTACAAGCATTAACAGAATTAATACAAATGATTGGCAAAGACCCAACTGGCAAAAAAATAGCAGTGCTTAGTCCAACAATAAAGTGACACTAGCCATTCAGTACAAAACTGAGTTACCTGAACTTCATATGAAGCTAAAGATAGAAAGAATTTGGCATTTCATATAACCACTATCTCACACAAATAATATTCTTTCAGATCTTCACAATTTTACTTGCAGTCTTTTTGATGTAACAAAAATACTTCAGAAACTATGTGAATGTTTCTTCTGTAACAGGCACAAGATAAATCACATTAAATGATGCAAATGAGGAAAAATCCTGAGATATGTGGAAAGCATAAAAGGGCTGGTAGACATGTGTCTGACAGCATTACAATGTAATAAGAGCACCATTTGAGAGAATCGTTTAAGGTACTCTCGCTATATGTCTTATCTCATAAAAGTAAAAAGAACATACTAGTTGTAGTACACAGTTTCAGAATGTGGCTTCAAGAGTCAAGACTTTTGGGAATTAAATTTTCCCTTTCAATTAGCAAGTAAAATCTCTTTATTCCTATTAATAATACACTTCTTGAAAGTACTACATTTAACATCACCCCAGAAGATCTTCAGCTGTGGTCTTTAATCTTCTGAATGATCTCTTCACATAACCATTAAATACATCTTTATAACAGCATTTGTTTAAATGACTGCTGATGCAATAAGAGGGTTTCAGAGAGAGGGCAATAAGAGGGATAGTCAAAGAGAGGATCAACACAAAGATTGATATTATGAATACTAGATATAATGCCCAAGTTTACAGACAGGGAGTTAAAGAAAGAAAACTCAAAGTAATCGCGGAAGCCCACCAATGGCCAAGTAGGAAAAGCATGTAAACACTGGTAATTTGGTTTGGGATACAACAAGTTCTGGTGCAGCAGCTTGCTGCATGCTTTCATGGTCTTTCCCATATGTAATATAGATACGAACCAATATCCCTTAAGAAATCCTCCCTGGAGCATCTCTTCTTTACCATATAGTACCTAACAGTGGAGCAAGTAATAAATAAATAAAAATAAGTAGTTGTGGAACTAAAAGCATTGTTAAGAGATCTTGCCCAAGCTACAATCAAGTTGGAATCGGCCTTTTCTTGCAATCAAGAGACCAAATGCTGCCCACATAGAAAAAAGCTGCAGCTCATATAGAAAAAACTTCTGAAACTAACAGGAACAACAATAACAAATGAATAACAGAATCAGAAAAGATTTTTTGGTCTTGGGGTAGATAATGAGGTAATGAGCAGTTATCCTTGCACTGCCTTAAAACGAAGGCACTGAAATTTATGCAAACACATTTGTTCACATTTTGCTATATGAGAGTTAATTTTGTTTATGATTTATTTTGTACATTGTTTTATTAATACATATTTTTTAATTTTGTGCATATTTTGGTTACATTAAAATTGAGAAAATAAGTGAAAGCTATCTGTCTTGACAAAGGAGGTTTCTATGAAGGGCTTTCTCAGTGAAGTTTGCTTATTTTCAGCCTGTGGAAAAACCTGAAAACACCAGTGCAGCCAGACTGTTTAACAGGATTTCAGTTGAACTTCCGACATTCAAGAGTTAACCACTCACCCAGTATTAAGCCTATTGATTGTAATCAGGTTTCTGTGTTTAACTGCTTCATTACTTTCTTTGCAGTACAGTATAAAATCCTTGATCTAGAATCATTGGGACTTCAGTGATTCCAGACTTTAGATC